TAAAAGCAGCAAGACAAGGTAGCCATCGTTTGACGAAAATAATGAAACTGCTTTATTGAAGACATGACGAAATGCGGAAAGGGCGAGATGAACTTTTTCCAACTCACGGTCTGAAGAACGTGGATCAACAGAGCTGTCGTAGAATATGCGTATAAAAGCCAGTGAGTCAACATCTACGCTCCGCACTGTTTATGCGTTGCCATATCATTTGCAGTGTCAATCTTTCACGCAGCCAAGCCTAACTGTCTAGCTTTGCAGCAGAGCATAGCTGCGTGAATTCCAAAAGCAGCGCGTCACAAAACCACCACAAGCTCCGCAAACGGCGGGTACAACAACTCGAATTTCGTCGGCTTCGCGGCATGTCCCAAAATGTTTCTGTTCCAAAAAAAAAACATCGCCGTCTCCTTCAACCATTGCTCATGTAGGAATTCTTAAATATTAATGGATGCACTTTAGCACACAGAGACGCCATCTTTATCACAACTCTACCTAATCATCAACACGCAACTCCCGCATTCCGAAAAACACAGACAAACGTTCATGGCCTTATCCGAAATCCATCAACCTAAACAGACGGAGCACGATATTCTGCCCATACGTTCAGCCTCCCACATTCATCATCCACAGCTGCGCTCGACCCACACATGCGATATTTCTCCCCAGCAGAATTTGATATGCTGAGCATTCCTGAAATCGCCACGTTTCCATCCCACATCGATATTTTGACAAACCTCAACAAACCCTGGACATACGCTGCACTTGTGTCTCGCCTCTTCAGTGTTTTCCTAGTCTCAACTAAAAGCACCAAAAGCCTTTTGCACACCCCTGCGTTCTTGCAGAAACCAGAGCCCTTGCGAACTGCTTTTGACACGTACTTCCTGCGAAACACGCAGCCGACCTCTCTTTGCGTCGAGAACTGCACCTCCCTCAAGTCTCTTCTCTGATCGGTTGTCCCTGTGACGCTGCCGCACAACAATCACGCCGGACAGCAGCAGTCCTCCCTCAAATCCTAACGCCCACTCTGTGCTCCCACTAACGCACCACTGCTCATCCACACTGCTGCATACTCCACCAAGCCCGAAACCCACTTCCTGAAAAAAACAGTTCCAAGTTCACGGATTCTTGAAAGGGTCATACGACTCACTCACGAGGCCCCGGTGCTCGGCAGATACGTCCACACTCCCACAAACTTCATCAATACCTGCGTTCGACCCAAACATGCATGCGATTCCTCCCCAGCAGATATGAACACGCTACGCATTCCTGAAATCGCCACGCTTCCTTTCCACATCGACACTTCGACAAACCTCAACAAACCCTGTGCATGCGCTGCTCTTGCATGTCGCCCCCTCAGTGCTTTCCTAGGCTCCACTCAAAGCAGCAAAAAGCTTGTGCACACCCCTGCGCTCCTGCAGAAATCTGACACACGGCGAACCGCTTGTGACACGTACTTCCTGCAACACACACAACTGACCTCTCGCTGCGTCGAAAACTGCATTGCCCTCAAGTCGAGACTCCGAGGTCTTGTCCCACTGACGCTGCCGCGCAACAATCACGCCGGACAGCAGCAGTCCTCCCTCATATCCATACGCCCACTCTGTGCTCCCACTAACACACCACCGCTTCTCTCCACTGCTGCATACTCCTCAACACGCGACACCCACCTTCTGAATAGCATACGTCCAACGCCACGCCTTCCATAACACTTCATACGCATCACCCACGAGCTCCCAACGCTCTGCACATACGCCAACCTTCCCACAATCTTCATCAATGCCTGCGTTCCACATACACAGGTGACCACTCTCTCCAGCAGAATTCAACACGCTGAGCATTCCTGAAATCGCCACGCTTCCTCCCCACATCCACACATCCAAAAACTTCACCTAACCCTGTACATACGATCCACTTGTGTTTCGCCTCTTCACTGCTTTCCTAGTCTCAACTAAAAGCACCTAAAGCCTTCTGCACACTCCTGCGCTCTTGTATAAATCAGACACACGGCGAACCGCCTGTGACACGTACTTCCTGTGACACACACAGTTGATCTCTCGCTGCGCCGCGAACTGCACTCCCCCCACGCCTCCTCTCCAGCAGCGCGTCCCTCTAACGCTGCCGCGCAACAAGCACGCCGCACAACAGCAGTCCCCCCTCAAATACATACGCCCATTCTGTGCTCCCACCAACGCACCACTGCTACCCCACACTGCTCCGTACTACTCAACACGCG